TCTCTTCACCATCCATCCTGATGCTGCCAATTGGTCCAGTGGTGAGAATCTGTGTCTTCTTGACATTCAGCCTCAATCCATGTTGGAGGCTGCAATCCTTGCCCCTCTGCAGCAAGCGCTTCATGTCCTCTTCAGTTCCAGCAAGCAGGGTTGTGTCATCTGCATAACGCAGATCGTTTCTAGATCTTCCACCAATCTTGACCTCACATTTCTCCTCATAGAGCCCAGCCTCCCAGATAATCTGTTCTGCATACAGGTTGAAAAGGCATGGAGACAGGACACATCCCTGGCATATTCCCTTCCCAATTTTGAACCATGTAGTGTTTCCTTACTCTGTTCTGACAACTGCCTCTTGGTCCAAGTATAGGTTTCTCATTATCACGATCAAGTGTTCTGGGATTCCCATTCTTCTCAGAGTCAGCCACAGTTTGTTATGATCAAACACCTATGCATAGTCAATGAAACACAGATATACATCCCTCTTGTATTCCCTGCTTTCAGATAAGATCCATCTAACATTAGCTACAATATACCTAGTACCACGATCCCTTCTAAACCCAGCCTGGACCAACTCTTTATATATATGGTAGTACATTTGACTGTATGGAAATGTCCTAAACATCTGCTGGGGTTTTTTTTCAGATTATAGAATATTAATTTTGAAGGGTTGTCTGTGTCTTATCATTTTCATTTTCTAATTCAGGTTGTTGTTGTTAATGTGCTATCGAGTCGCTTGTGACTCATAGAGACCCTATGTACAAAACCCCTAAACCCTGCTCTGTCCTGTGCCAACTGTAATGTCTCCCATACACCCATCCCAATTACCTCAGTCACTGAATCAATCCACCTCATAGAGGACCTTCCCCTCCTGCACTGTCTCTCCACCCTCCCAAGCATGATGTCCCTCTCCAACAATCAGTCCCTCCTTACAGCGTGTCCAAATTATTCCAGACGAAGCCTCAGAATCCTTGCCTCCGAGGAGCAGCCTGATTTAACCCTCTCCAGGATTAATCTGTTTTCTTAGCAGTCCATGGTGCACTCAATACCCTTCTCATATCTTAGGGCATAGGTTGTTGTTGTTGTTGTTGTTATGTGCCGTCGAGTCGTTTCTGACTCATAGCGACCCTATGCACAACAGCACTAAACTCTGTTCTATCCTGTGCCAACCGCACTACCTCTGATACACCCATCCCGATTACCCCAGTCACCGAATCAGTCCATCTCATAGGAGGTCTTCCCCTCCTGTGCTGTCCCTCCACCCTCCCAAGCATGATGTCCCTCTCCAAGGACCCGTCCCTCCTGGTAACATGTCCAAAGTATGTCAGACGAAGCCCCAGAATCCTTGCCTCCAAGGAGCAGCTTGGTTTAATCCTCTCCAAGATGAATCTGTTTGTT